GGAATAATATCAAGTGCTTACCCAGGATAGGGAAATGTGGAAAGTGTTTGTTTATGTACTATGTTCTGATACAGGGTGAAAAGACTGTGATGATGACACCATCACGACTACTTCTTTTTTTTTTTTTTTTAGCCAGAAGCACGAGCTCTTCTACTGTGCAATACATATTTTTGTTTCTCCCCTGATCTGCCCTCTTCCTTAGTAGATTTTTTCTGCCTTTCTTCTCCTCTAACTAATCGCATATTTCTCTTGAATATTATCCTCTGTACCGTATCAATCAGTCTTTCCCTGCCCTTTTCGCCAATTGACTCCACCATCTCGTCTTTGTTGAGCCTATTTCTTACTCTTGATGAGTCCCCCTTCCCCATTCTTCCACCCCTCCCTCCCTTTTCAAACCACACTTAATCCCCTTTCTCACACACTGTATCTTCTATTCTCATCAAGAACGCCCACGGGAGGAACATACTCTTTCATTGGGACACCTGTTCGCAATGCCAAAAGGCCCCTTCAGCTCTTCCCAATCACTGCAAGCTATTGTTTCTATTTTTCATAGTATAGGTCAATTCATGCTTACTCTCACAAACCTCAAAATCGTTCAGGAACCTATGAGACAGAGAACTAAAGAAGTCCACCTTGGTCTGTCCCTTGTTTTATTCCCTGTCCCTATACTCGTACATAATGTAATTCCTCATTCCGAAATTTTATGTACACAATTTACTCAAGATTGTGGGGCGCAAAGGACTTCCCACGGGAGTAAAATATTTCTTTGAAAAATGCAACTTTCTGTTGATAGTGGTCAATTCCTTGTAAACATTAATTTGACGATACCATAACAATTTAACTATATTTCAATTGTTTACAAAGAAATTGACGACCGTGGACAGAATACGGCATTTCTCAAAAAAACAGTTTACTCCCGTGGGAGGTCCTTTTGTGCACCACAATCTCTTGCATATACTTTGTATGAAGGAGAAATTATACCGTCCAAATCATGTGTATATGTTTTGTATCAAGGAGAATAAATACCAACACAATCTCGTGAATATGTTTTGCATCAAAGGGAATTTATACTGTCAAAATCATATGTATATAAACTAGTCAACAAAAATTAAGGAACATTTGAGAAAAAGTGTACAACTTCGAGAGCATACTTCAACACGCAATGCAATTTTGTACACTTTTTAATCAACATATGTATAGCAAGTAACAAAAAAGAAAATTAAGTTATTCCATTTTAACTTGCATAAAAAGTTAATTGAGTTTGGTAGGGGTTAAAATCCCAAATCCCAAATTTGTCAAGTGGTTTCGAAGTTATTTTAACTTCTGACTACAACAAAAACAAAACAGTTCAGATGATTTCAATGATGAGTATGCCCACCACGATCGTCCTGGCACTCAGTACACCGGCTCGTCATCGAGTTCATGAGGTTGGTGAACACTCTCTGAGGCCTCCCCTGCCACTCTGCCTGCAGCATCTGAAACAGTTGCTGCGTGTCTCCTGGAGGGGGGGGGGTTGCCTCTGACTCGACGTTGCTGCTCATCCCAGAGGTTTTCTATGGGATTCATGTCAGGACTGCAGGCCGGCCAGTCCATTAGGTTAATGCCAGCCTGCTGCATGAAGTTTTGGACTAGCAACGCTCTATGAGGTCGGGCGTTGTCATCCTGGTACCCCGCGTGAGGTCCCATCTGCTGCACAGGAGGTAGTGCTAATGGACGGAGTATCTCATCTCGGTAAACGTAATGTAGTGAGATTCCCTTGCACATGGTACAGAGGTGTTCAGTGGTTCAGACTGAAAGCACTCCATACCATCACGGAACCACCTCCAAAAGGCATCTCTTCTCTGACGGCTGCATCGAGAAGCCGCTCTCCTGGTCACCTTCAAACCCTGATACGACCGTCATTGTGATGCAAAGAGAACCGGAACTCGTCGCTGAAGAGATCGTTTGCCCACTGTTGACGTGTCCATCTTACATGGTGCCGGCAAAAAAGACGAGCAGCCTTGTGTGCTGAGGAGAGACGCTGACGGACTGCTGGTCGACGTGCATTAAGTCCAAACTCATGAAAACGTCTTCGTACTGTCTGACAACTAATGTTAACACAAGTTACCGCTCTCAGCCGTGTCTGGATGCGATTTGCAGGAGCGGATCTCGACTGCAGAGCCTGTCTATGAATGAATCGGTCTTCCCTTGCATTAGTGGCTCTTGGTCGACTTGATCTGGGTCGCTCTTGGGCACTACCAGTGGTGTTGGCACGCTGAATCAGCCATGAAATGACAGAAACGGACACTCAAGGACGTGTAGCAACCTGTCGGAGTGAAACACCATCTTGTACCCAAGAAATGGCTCGTCCTTTGTTTACATCAGACAATTTCTGTCGAGGAGGCATGTTTATGTTTAGCCCTACAGCAGCAGAATGGTGTATCCACAGTGCAAATGAGCGAGTGCAAGTCACTCACGAGACATGAATCTTGCATTTGAAAACTGATTTTTCCTGATGGTTAGAGCGAGAGAATAAAAATCGATAATAGGAAAACATTGGACCTTTTTGCCACCTCCCAAGCTCATCGCACAGGCCTCGGGTGCATTTCAAACCTTGGTGTGTACAAGCCCATTAGTCACAGAGTAACATTTCACCAATATCTAGTTTTACTAGTAAGAGTAAAACCTCGAAAGAATGCATGCAAATATATCACTGTTTTTACAGTACGTTCCTGAACTTTTGTTGACTAGTTTATGTTATTAATACCGTCACAATCCCGTGAACAAATTTTGAACCAATGAGAACTAAACTGTCACACTCTTGTGTATGTTTTGTGTAAAAAGAGAATTTATACCACCAATCCTGGGCTCCTGAGTCTTAGTTTGCCAAAAAGTTGGAGGCGCTTCGGTATTTTTAGTCCATCGAGTTGTTGTTAGCGGAAAGCACCATCAAAGCAGAAAGAACCACTTAAAACTTTTTGTCTCAAGGTGAACGTGCACCAGATAAGGCTACCCGCCTGACAGCGTTACAGTAATACACCACTGAGAGACAATTTGTCGAGCAGGTAATCCCTTGCTAAATGATTTATACACTCACTACAGCAGATTGTTGACTTGACTGCTTTTAATCTTCATAACATACACTGGGGCTACATTGTAAAACTTTTAAAAAATTGGTATGAAAACTCAACACACTCATAGTTTGGGGGTCCGTCCTTTGGAATTTTAGACAAGCGAGAGCCTTTTTAAAAATATATATTACTCGTGTATATAGATCTATATAATATCGTAATTTCTCTCAGGCTTCCAGAGGACGGAAAGTTAACAAGTTCAGACTCAACGGTGACACGGTGTTTAGATGGGTGGTCATTGGGGGTACCTTCTCTACATTATGTTATGTGAACCTGTAAAATTTAACTTTCAGTAACATCTGTTTTCTTTTGATAACAGTATAGACTTTTTCGTCTCTCCGGTTATATTGTAAAAACTGCTTCTACTGTACTATAAAAATGGCGTCAGCAATGAACTGCCCCCCTCCCTTTTGAAAATCAACCTGAATTAAATGTCCCCAGCTGCGGTACAAAGACATATTGTGCAAACGCGACACTAAATCCTAAGACATTGACACGAAGGCTAGGAAGACACTATAACCAATCGCAACAGCAGCATGCTGTTTATCCAAGAAACAGCTGAAGACGGTAGAATAGATGGATGGCTGTTATATTGTGTGGTTGTGCCAGGCCCAGAACCTTCTAATATCCCTTCTTGTTTCTTTTGTTTTATTAGGAGTTTTACAGTACTTGCAACACAGCTAGGCCATGTAAGTGCCTAAACAAATTAGAAAATATTTAATGATTTTTTTCTTGACACAGTATTCAAGGATGGAAAATATCAGTGAAAGTCCACACTCCAGACACTATAAACAAATATTAATTCCCTATGAATGGAAAATTCCAGACACTGTTTTAAAGTGTTGCATCTTGTCTTCATTCTGTGAAAATTTCATGAACGTTGGATTAAAAATGGAGGACTGATTTTAAAAAGTATATTAAAAACACATTTTGAGAAAACGGACGATTTTGCCCCCTCTTCAGGGCTCCTAACTCTTTCTGCAGCTTTTCTACTGCTACTTCTTGTCTCCTTCTTACTGCTGTCTTTCACTACTTTCAGTCTTTCAGCCACATCCCTGATCTTAGGGTAGGTAAGATCTAACACCTAGCCTTTTCGGATAAGGGCGAACAAAATCTCGAGGGTCCTGTATGCAAATTGGGCATGATAAAGATCCCTTGGTGGTCCTAAAATCGATAAGAGTAGGTTTCGCTGTCACCTCGGCAAAATTCAAAATTAATTCTTACCAAACTGAAAATTCTTAATGTGCCCCGCGCGCTCATATGACCTTATGCAGTGGCGAGCGCCGTAAACACTTAGATCTACCACCCCCCATCCCCCCTTAAAAAGTGTGTAACAACCAACATAATATTTTGTTAAAGAAATTTTGATGACAAAGATATAGGGCTGTTTTCAGCTTCTAGGATCGCAACTTTTCTTGACAAGAGTCTATTTACTCTAAATGTTACCGGTACTTGTACAATTTAAACCCAGGTTTTAAAACATGATTATTTGTTGAATGACACAACGAAACACACACAAATAGATGTAGATCATGTCCAACGTTGACAGTGTAACGACCGACATCACAAGTTACTAAAGAATTTGGAAGACAAAGAAATAAAGTCTCAGATAGCAACTAGGCTTGACATAAGTCAACTCTCTGCAAAGTTGCTCGTTAAATTGAAGGCCAGTGTTGTAAAACAGCATTATTTGTTTATTGTTTCAACTAAACATACTAAAAACTAAAGAGATGTAGTAGCTAAAAGTTTAACGACCCGCCCAACAAGTTACTAAAAAAGCGGACGACAAAGAAATAAGGCTGTTTCCTGCTTCTTTGGTCGCAACTTGGCTTGACCAGCGGCGTCTTGTCAGTACAAATAGCTTGTAAAAACAAAAACAAACCCCAAGTTGAAAACAAAAGTATTTGTTGTTTATGACAACTAATGTTTGAAATGGTACAAAAGATACATGATTTAAAACAAACTCAATTCCAAACAACGCAAACTGTTTAAGTCATTTAATTAATGGATACTTGTATGAAATAGGATGCATTGAAAAGGGACACATTTTCATTGTCATTTTTGAACAACAGTGAAATTCTACGTAATGAAAACCATATACTTAAAATAAAAACAAAATGAAGCATCACTAGTCTGGTCATATAAAACGCTACCAGATCACTATGAAGGGAATTTTCGACGGCAAGGTGTTCGGCTCACAGGGTGGACAGTGCATAGTGTTGACCATCACTAAGGACCGGGGTAAATGTTAGGGCAAAATGCACGTCATTACAGTCATGCCAAGCTCTGAGGCAGAGATTATACCTTCAGGTGTTCGAGATGATACAATGCTGTGGAACATAGTAAAAATTTAAGGGAGCATTGACCAAGTGCCCCATTATCCCATATTCCCAATTCAAGTGTTCTCATAATAATATGATTGCCGATTTGGTTAAATCCACCCAAAAGAAGTCTTAAAGATTTTATGCTCATTATGTTCTATGTTCTCTTCACTAGTGTTTTTCTTGTCAACCAATGTATTTTTTTGTCACCGAGGGGCCGAAAGTTGCTCGACAACCCATTAAATAGAAGGTATCATTTTCTTATATTCCAGTTTGCGTCTTTTAAAGACATCGAATCTTATTAAAAAGAAATCTTATTCAGACAAACTAAAGTCTTTAAAGAAATTGAACTAGTTTGCTAATTTCTTATTTCCAAATCTTGGTAAGATCATATTTGTGAGTTACACAGGACTCTTTTTCTGTCAAAATTATTTTCTTATACGAGGCGTTTTTGTCCGCTAATAGAAGTGATAGTTGAGCTATTAACACCTCACCCATTCCCCCTATCTTTCAACATCGTCTGTTTTATTCGCGCTCAAACAGCATTATTGGATGCAGATGGCTACATATTAAAATACAACACGAAAACCCTAATAATAATATAGTAAAACAAAATCGTCAATGAGAAAATACATGACTTCAATAGAATGTTTTAATTAAAAGTGCGTACATTGAGGAATGGTGTTAAACATACCCTGACCATACGCCAGTATTAAATTCAGATATAAGTCAAAGACACTGTTCAGATTAGGGCTAAGGGAAGACGTGATAGGGACATAAAAAGGGCTACATCTCAGCTCAAATTGAGCAGCCTAGACTAGCAAGTCTCTGTGACGTAAGGCCCATAAGGCAACACACATCATGAGTGTAACGGGAAGGTGTGGAAATGTACAAAGTTGATGGAGTGCCACCCCGCCGCTCTCTGTCATCTGATCTTCAAAACTGTCTGGGGCTTTTACAGTTGAGGTACTCCTTTCTGGTCGTGTAGGCAAAATCATACCTCCTTGTAAGATAAAGGTAAAAAAATAAAAATAATAAAAATAGCATATACTGATAACTACGCACAATTAAAGAAAAAGGAAAAAAAGATCGTAACGAAACACACAATGGTTTTTAGGTTATATAATAGAAGAGATTCCAAACCTCGCCACAACTCCCAAAACCTTAAACTCTCCTTGTCGTATCACCGAAAAGAATCCTACAAGTAACGGCAATAAAGCAATATGAGTAAAGACAACAACACAACAATAACAACTTGCAAACACACGGCGCATTAAACTAAAATAATCAACATTGACTGCACCTTCTCTCAGATAACACTGTGTGAGGAACTTTGAAATAAAAGCTTAGTAAACAGTTCCCGAGGAAAAAAACAACAACATAAACTGCCGAAAGCAGCTGAAGTTTTCTTCCTACCCAAAAGCCGACGAGTTCATCGTTGTCGATGACTGAACAGATAGTTGCAAACACATGACTAGGGAGGAGATAAATCAATGACTGTTCAAAGAAAAAGCAGCTCGCCAAGAAGCATGGCGTAGTGAAACTGTATGTGCAAGCAAAGAATAATAGTCTATGTGGCAATAAAAGTAGCAGGTGGTACAATTCTGAAGTTCTGCAGTTCGGCAAGTCTAGGTAAAAAAGCTGTCGCGAGATTACTGAGATTAAAGATTCATAACGCTGAAAATAAAACACATGAAAACAGAAGGCCAAACGATACCACACGTTTTAGGAAAGGAAGAGCTAGGTAGTTTTCATAACAAATTGACCCTTGTAAAATCTAGTTTGATGATAATAAGAACGCAGAGTTAGAAAAACACCATACTTTTATCAACATTCATGAATCATATATAAAGTATAAAGTGGACATCGCTTTCATAGGGATATGGGATATAAAAAGATTCAGCTATTAGAAGGCTTACCTCTTTTTGAATTGTACTGGTTGGCTGAAAGCAAATGGAAACCTTGGTTTTAGTATTTCACAGAGATTTTAAAAAGTCATGAATGTTCAATTAAGAAAAATCACTTGCCAAAGGCTTCAGTCCTCCTCCTCCTCCTCCTCCTCCTCCTCCTCCTCCTCCTCCTCCTCCTCCTCCTCCTCCTCATCATCATCATCATCATCATCGCCATCACTGCCATTAGCACCCTGCATCAGGACATAAGCCACACACAAACACTTTCCACCTTTCCATGTCCTGGGCTAGACTCTTGATGGTATTCCATGTCTTCCCACATTTTTGTACATGGTTCTTTGTGGATCTCCTGCAGGATCCAGTACCCAGTACCCTTTTAGTTAAAATTGAGTTGTGACCTTTTAATAGTATTTCGAGTCATACTCTAACTCTAAAGTCATATGCTAACGAAAAGAGCATCAAGATAAACTTCTAAAAATACAAAGATAAATTGCATATGCTTTTTTCCGCTTCAGAAAAAAGAAAATGATCATGGCACCACACAAGTCCCTTTGTAAGTGACCTTCTCATCTTCACTTCGTCCAGAGAATCCTACACCATCTGACTCTTCTTGAAAATATTTTGCAGGGAAATTAGGCCTATATCTACACGGGACTTATTCAAACGACTAGAAGACAATCATGCTTCTATTCTTTGAAAAACAAAGGTAATCTATAATCTCTTGTAAGTGGACAAAGAAGAGTGTTTACCCCATGCAACAGAATCGCTACCAAAAACACAGTTCGATGGTCGTGTCAAGTTTAATGACCTTGGGATGTAGACAATGTGTTGCCTAACTTGCGGAGTTATTAGACTTGATAAGGCTCCGCGCACAAAAGGAAAACTTCCACTCGTAGCACGGCTGCGAAGTATAACATCAGTTGGAGTTGAAATGAGACAAAAGGGTGAAAGAAAAGTGCCCCATTTGCATACCCACAGTAATGGGACAAGTGGAAATTTCCTTCGTATGCCGAGCCCAAATACTAACGTTTACAAATTTTGAAGACATAAAGCCACGATTCCAGAGAGGGGAATCTCTCGAGCAGAATTTGTTTCAGTGGAATTACAGGTTAACATTGGTATAATATTATGTTTAAAAGTAGTTGTTTACTTGTACCTTTGAGAATACGGACTGAGGCTGACGTTATCTGCAACAAGGCAGAGCGACACACATAAAGGCCGGAATCATCCATTTTCGCGTCAGCAATTTCCAACACGCTGTTGATGGACTTGTCAGCCAAAGCACGACTCTCCTTGACTGTCACCTGCAATGTAGTCGTCATGAAAGACAAGAAAATTTTAAGCCTTAACTGTTGCATTAAACTGTATTTTTGATGATGTTGAAAGGTGCATCATTGAAATTACTTTTGGGAGGGTGTAAAAATCGAAAATTCTCAAAATGTGGATTGCTTGCAACAATGACGATGTGTAAAATATATCAGTAGATTTTCTGAAAATTACAATAGATATCATCTAACTCGGCTGACTCAGTTTAGATCGTTTTAAGACTATCGGCTTCGGCGTTACCTGTCGGGGCCAAATCGGATCATGAGGGACACATGCTCTCAGAATAATGAAGATGACAATGAATGTCGTTCTGAAAGTACTCGAGTGCTTCGGTCTTTCTGCTGGGATGTTGTATCCCTCTCAGCCGGGTTTCACGTAGAAGATGAATTTACGTATTTAAGGTTGAAAGTGAAGATACTATTAAAAGCTGCAAGCTCCAATCATTTCTTTTGCTTCTAGATTCACTACGTAAAAAGAAACGGGTATCTATAGAAAATGAGATTTCCATTTTCATCCGTATATTTTTTTCTTTTCTAATGCCCACTATATAATATATACATATATATATATATATATATATATATATATATAAATATCTGCCTCTGCTCTCTCTCTCATTCTCTCAGAACACAGGACTCACACACACACACACACACACACACACACACACACACACACACGCACGCACACATACACACACACGCACACACACGCGCACACACACATGCACACACACATACACACATGTATACAGGCACTCATATACACAAACATACACTCACTCACACACACACACACACACACACACACACACACACACGCACGCACACATACACACACACGCACACACACGCGCATACACACATGCACACCCACATACACACATGCATACAGGCACTCATATACACAAACATACACTCACTCACACACACACACTCACACACACACACACACACACACACACACACACACACACACGCACGCACACATACACACACACGCACACACACACGTGCACACACACATGCACACACACATACACACATGTATACAGGCCCACACAAACAAACACACGTTCTTCTCTTTGCCTCTTTCTTTACCTTCTCTCACCCTTTCCACACTTTCCTTTCCTATGTAACGTATCTTTCTCTTTCGAAGTGGAACTCGCTATTCACGCTCATCAGTTTCACGTGTAACAGAAGAGAGAGAGAGAGAGAGAGAGAGAGAGAGAGAGAGGGGGGGGGAGGCTTTCGGTCGTATACATCTTTGTTGTTATTTTTTTTTTAAAACGTTGAAAATTGAGACGAGGCTATAGCCAGCAATTCAGCTTAATTGTGTTCCAGAAGAACATTACGGAGTAATGTTAAAGTAATACGCTAAAATCACTCTGAGCAACAAATACTATTATATAGTCATTTTGGCACCGCTAAAAGCACTATCAGTAGTGCTTATAGTACAGACCTTCACGCCAAAAACACTATTTCTAGCTACGCCAAAGACACTATCCTCAAGCCAAAATCACTCGAAACAATAAACACTACCATAGTCATTTTGGCAACGTTGAAAGCACTATCAGTAGCGTTTATAACACAGACCTTCACGCTAAATAAAATGCTGTCCCGCAAAAAACACTTCCATCAGATAATATACGTATAGTCTTAGGTAATATGTATTATACACTCACGCATACCCTATTATTTTCAGCTTCTCACGCCGAATTCACTACCATCACGCAAATTCCACTATCGTTTGTGTTTATAGCATATAGGCCTTCACGTCAAAATCACTATTTCTGGCTATACCAAAGACATCGCTTTCAAGCAAAAATTACTATTCAAGTATGCTAAAAAAACACTATCCCGATCAATGATCACGCTAAATAAACTGCTTGTCCCGCAAAAAACACTACCACCAGAATACGTATACATATTCTTAGACAACATAATATTATACAATCACATAAACCCCTCTATTTTCGGCTTTTCACGCCTAATTCACAACTATAGAGACTTCAAAATCCACTCATATATTAAGGATCGGATTGCGAGTAACTTGCAATTATCTGTTTTGTGGATGAATCTTGCGGTTCCCAAGATAACGGCGACCATAGATCTATAGGAAAATGAACAATTTTTGGTATGTATTTTTTAAATCCCTAAAAGTCAAGACATCACTTTCTCAGTAATCTCACGTATTTGAGAAAAAGAAAAAAAAAAAAAAAGTCATTGCACAATTTTAAAAAGCCTTATTTTTTAAACTTACAAACACCAATACCATTAATAAAGGATGTGATATCTTGCTCAGCTTTATTTGGACCGGATCTCTGCCAAGTTTCAGTTAAATCCATTCACGAAATTCTGACTTTTAGGGAAAAATGTAGCGTACAGAAAAATATGATTTCGAGGAAAACGCAATTTTAATTCTAAATTTGTTCTCAGAAGTTGTAAATCAGTACCTTTCAAAAGCATTTAAGAAAAATATATATCTGCATGTATTTGAGGCATAATACTTGGTAAAATGATGCAATAGTGGCTAAACTTACGGAAAATGATTTTAAAAGAAATACTTTGTATCTTGAAGCTAAACCTTCATTTCAGGTGCCACCTCTTAGTTATAATAGCCCAAGGTACTTGTCTTAAAAAACTGGGATAGTGTTTTGAGCATAATGTCTAAACCCCGAAGTTAGAGCTTATATGACTTTATGCAGTTGCGACCGCCGTAAAACCTCTACTAAAACAATCCCCCCCCCAAAAAAAAACCAAACAAACAAAAAACCCCAACTAAACCCCTCCCCCCCATGAAAACAACAACAGTAGTATTTATTGACGAATGACGGTAGTGTTTTTGGCGTGGGTAGTCAATCTGGCGTGTAAGCGGTAGTGTTTTTAGCTTAGTAGAGATACTGTTCATAGCGTATGCCAATATCACTATATTATTACATGTATAGGGTAGTGTTTACAGCATGACGTGTGAACATCACAACGGTAGTGGTTATGGCATGAAAGCTTACGCCAAAACGACTAGATCTACGGTAGTCTTTACTGCACGGTAGTGTTCTGAGCGTGTTACAGGTGTAAGCGCCCACAAGAGGCATGTTTCTAGATTAAATACAATCTATTAGGAGGAAGAATGCAGTGCATCTGGGTTATCCAGATACGGAGGCCTAAGAGAGGGGTATTGCTTAACTCAGCCAAATGTACGAGATGATAATATTTTGTTGTAGTGAAAATCAACAATCACGACAGCCGTGGGAACTCAAATGATTTGCAACATGGTTGAAGGGAAAAGCACAACTACTCATTAATGTCTCTGCTCTAGAGAAAAACTTGACAAGCCTAATGATAATAAAACATTCAAGAAAATATAATAACAAAACTAATGATAATAATGATAATGATAATAATAATAATTGTCCATTAATATCTGACTATGACCAATGCACCTGCAGAGGAGAGTTCTCAAGCAAAATAGTAGAAATACGAATTAAGGTGATTTATTTGTTCTGCTATGACCAATGAGTTTAATCCTGGCAGAGAAGCGATTGTCACTTAATTTTGAACGTTTACAATAGTGTACAAGCCCCATTTCTAATCGAGGATGTGCACAGCTTCCTGGCTTTTCTTCAGCATTTCTCATTAATTGCGAAGCCTGATAAGATTTGCTGCCGTACATAATTGCTGGCTTTGGTAGGAGATAGGCTTTCCTATGTCAAGGAATTAATGTTGAGGCAGCGTGGTGAAACCAGGCGCTCGTCAAAATAATGTAAGGAAGGAAACCCTCATTTTTCTGCCTGTTGGCCAGTTAAAAAAAATAAATTTTGGCTTTATACATTCTAGGTCTATTTAAGAACATAATTCTATGTGGATTTTACTGAAAAGCACAAAAATGGTAAATTAAAATTTGCAGTTTTCAATAACACTCCAGCTTTGGATCTCACCAAACTTTGGCAACCATTTCACGTTGATTTTTACCTCTGCTACCAGACAACCCTCACCTCCTTCAATCGCAAATAATATGACTTCTATTCAAGTTAAAAGGTTATTTTTTACGCCAAATACAAGACAAATGAACAAACTTTAAGATGATACTAATAACTTCATAGACTAAAAAATTGACGAGCGCCTGATTCCACCGAGTCGTGACATATGTTGAAGTCCTTCAGAGACAATTTCAGAGTGTCTATATAGTTGTAGCGCTTTTTTTTAGCGTGTCAACTTCGCGCTTTCCTTAGGACAGCTCAGAATAAAACATTGCCTTTGGGATTCTAAAGACAAGCATCCTTACGACAGCAACCAGTCCTGTGAAGTTGAATCTTTTTGAGCCTAGATAACATACACTACGCATTTGCTGCTTTAAGAGCGTCGGTGTCTTGTACTTTTCCCCTCAATTTGATGCGAAGAATTCCCAATAGACATTTCATTTGGAAACTATTGAGGTTCTTAGCATGGCTTTGGCACACTAAGTTTCAACATTGTACAACAGGGTTTGGAGGACAACAACAAATTTTCAACGTTGTGTCTGTGCAAATGCCACAGCAATCCCAAACCTTCGCTTCAAGTCTTCAGAAGAGGACGTCAGCTTTATTCAAACGTAACATTTCTGCATCGACTTTGGGCATTTTAAGACAGAGTACTGCCAAGATATTTGAAGCTGTCAACGTTTTACAGTGTTGTGTCAAGCATTGTGTTTTCAGTAGGAGGTACTACTACTACTACTACTACTACTACTACTACTACTACTACTACTACTACTACTACTACTACTACTACTACTACTACTACTACTACTACTACTACTA